AAATGCATAACATACGGAAGAGGCCTCAAAACTAAAACGGTGTAGTCTTATTAACCTATCGATGTATGCCTCTATCTTAAGAAACCTAGCCCCAGAATTCCGGGGCTGCGCACGCTTCCCACAGTAGTGAGACGCATACATACCACCGTTAGAAGTCTCCCAGATCCATAGCTCATCGGCAAACCGAAAAATCCACGAGGAGGTGCACCTGGATCGGAGCAAAGCTTCCTCAGATAAGCTGTACTTTGTGAAGTACACGCGCTTAAATCAGCATGTGAGCTATTTGTGGAAAGAAATAGAAATCTGATAATTCACAACTTCCAGAGATCTTCATGGAGGACACACAGGCCAGAAGGAAGAGGGACTGTGACCTAGTAGATGCGATAATACGAAACGCAGGAGCTGAAGATTCCATGTTTACCANTAAGAGGGACCGCGACCTAGTAGATGCGATAATACGAAACGCAGGAGCTGAAGATTCCATGTTTACCAGAAAAATTCAGCGCATCGACAGGTGGGACTCGGAAAAATGTATCACAACACCCAGGTCTACTTCCGCTCTCAAACAGACCGAGACACTATACTGGCGCAAAAAGTAACGGATGTGATAGACGGTAAAGTAAAAATTGCCATGGATACAGTGAGTAAGTCTTTTCCCCAGCGCGAGCAAACAAAGTTGGCTCCCACCAAGAACGGCTAGAACAATCTACCCGCGGTTGTCGTGATCCAGTTAGAGAGACAAAGCCCCTAGCGCTTGAAAAAACATGTGAAGCCCCGGAAATAGACCCCGAGGGCGTGCCCGGCTCTTCCTCATAAGGCACGGAGTCACACTATATAAGCAACTTCATGACGAATGCTTGTAGCATAATAAACGAAAAGGACGAGCTAGACATCTTACAGGGGTCGAGTTCGCCTTAACAACAGAGAAATCACTCTCGGAAGGCACTGAACTGGGTCGCATAAGTAACAGCTGCACTGCTTACAGGTCAGACAGACCAAGAGGATTCATGGCGGTGGGGCAGTTTTGTTGGTCAGAGACCACAATAAACAGGTACCAATCCTGCCCACTTACGAATCCGAAAATATCCAAATGGTAGAGTGTATGATAGTTTCTCCGGTAGGACTAACCCTGATAGGAGTGTACCGAAGCCCTCGCACGACGCCACTCGAGAAAGCTGAGCTGATTACTAAACTTCTAGACCTAATAAAGACTCCCCTCCGACTATGTCTCATAGGCTACTTTAACACTGGGAAACCGAAACCAACGAGGGTCCTGGCTTCGAAAACCAGTTATTAGAACTGTTGCACGAAGACCGGCTCCATCAGCACATCACGTGGGCAATCAGATTCAGAAAAGGGCAAATCTCGTCGACTCTAGATCTGCTGATTACACAGAGCGAAGGTGAAGTCCGATATCCACGGGAATCCACTAGGAAAAAGGATCACATCGTGATCTTGTTTGACCTCATGCTGAAGGTTCCCGCACGACGAAGTAGGGTAGCTAGGTCGTACAGTAAAATCGACCACGTCGCACTTTTAAGAGACGCCCGTGAACTCAGTTGGATTACCGACGGCACAACAAACACAGAGTCAGTGTGGCAGGTCATCAACCAAAATATAATTAGATTGACGGACGGAAACACATCGCTGACAGAGTTAAAAAGTCAAATGCTGAAGCCCTGGTTCATGGCTCAAGTTCTTAAGGGGTTACGGAAACGCAACGCTGCCTGGCACAGATACGCAGTGCTGGAAACATGCACTGACTAACGGCAGAACACAAGGCTAAGATATGAAGCAGTCCGCATATTAAGATCAGTCCGAGGTTACCATGAAATAAAACTGGCAAGGGACATTAGAACACAGCCAAAAAGAGTTCTGTAACTGCGTCCAATCGCAAGCTGGAAGTCAAAAGACCGTAGGCTCGCTTATGCATTTAGGGACAACAACCCTGGACACGGACCAGGGCATTGCAAATGCATTTAAAGACCACTTTCAGACAATCTTCCGAGTGGGGGCGATTGTAAACGACCTCGTAGACGAGGATATTGCAGGTCTACGCAGCCCTGGCTTGATTGTAGATGTCCTATCTGTGAGCTCCGGACTCAATTCGACAAAATCAGCGGGCCCAGACAACCTGCACCAAGCGGTAATGACGGAAGCCCTAACATCACTGTTCAATCAGTCAATATCAACAGACCGACTGGCACAGAGCAACAATTGCCCCTATCCACAAGAAAGGGGATGCAGCTAAGTTAGAAAACTATCGACTGAGTAGCTTGACCAGCATCGTTTCCAAAGTGATGGATGGGATAATAAGAAAAACCTAGCAGAGTACCTAATATTCGAGCAGTTCTTTTCGAAGGCACAGCACGGATTCCCCAAGGATGGATCCTGCCTGACCAACCTCTTAGTATTTCTAGACGAAGTAACAAGCAGCTTAGACAAAGGAGAAACAGTCGAAGTTTAGTACCTTGACTTCAAAAAGGCGTTCGCCTCCGTTAAACACGTGCTGTTATTGTATAAATTAAGGGGTACAGGGGCACCAATCCAGGTATGTGACTGGATAGCCAGTCTACTTCACGATCGAACATACCAAGTGAAAATACGACCGATGATCTCCAGCGAAGAGAAAGTGACTAATGGTGTCCCCAAGGGTCAATAATAGGACCACTCCCTCATATTCCTAATTGACCATGCCAAGGAGGTCGCAAATCCGTGCCTTGTCTACGCAGACGGCGTCAAAATAGTTGGCGGCTCGTCCAGTCGTCAACCAATACAAGACGACTTAGACAGGTTCTCAACGTGGAAGGAAGGTGGGATCTGCCACTAAACGCAACCAAATGTTGTGTTCTAAGCAAAAATGATCCGGAATTCTCCTGCGGCTTACGTTCCCAAATCAAAAATCACATACTCTGAAATAAGAGAGGTGTATCAAGGACTTTGGTACTACGGTCTAAGCCAGCTTTGCACCCAGCGAACAATGCGTCGAAGCACCCCTCTAGGCCAAGAGTGCGTTGTCTGCACTCAGAGCTGCAATAACCAGGAGGGAAGTCAATGTGTTCATCCCTCTGTATAGGACACTCATCAGGCCCCACCTAGAATACTGCGTCCAAGTTGGGGCTCTCTACCGAGTAATTGACGTAGACAGGTTCGCAAAGATGCAACGGATAGCCCTCTAATTGTTTCGTAAAACCAAAGGGCTATCCTACGATGGCCGGCTTCGGCATCTGAACCTCTTCTATATGGGTAGGAGATTTCTAAGAGGAGACCTGCCCGAAGTCTTCAGACAAACAAAAGAACGCCGATCTGGGTCTCCTACCTCTGAGATCCACGAGAGAACTAAGGGGCCACGAATATCACCCAGAAAAGAATAAAAGCAGGTTGGATGTGAGGAAGCATTTCTCCACCAACAGGGTGGTCAAATTCTGGAATCGCTTCCCCGGAAGGCTCGTTCAACTAAACCCAGTGCGAACATTTAAAATGGATTTAGGTAGACTATGGACGGAGACCTTTCCAGAAGAGACCTAAAACATAAGGGAAATAAGCTCCTTCTTTTATTTTCCTCAACCCCACGTTTGACATAACGTGGTGCACATGGACAGCATGCACACGCGGGAACGCTTACGCTTAACTGTACGTAATTCTCTCACCGACACCGCGAGAAGAATGTTGGTTCCCTCTCTTTTTCAGCCTTGCTGAAAACAGGCGCGACAACTACTACATCCAAATCTCGCATCCTCGGACGGTCGCGCAACTATCAACCGTGCTGTAAGCCCGACAACATACAGCTCGATCGGCCTACCGACGAGGTCAAGCCAGAATCAGGACGACAGAACTTGCTAATCTGTCAAGTATTCCTTGTGCATCCTCCATAAATTCGAACAAGCAAACGATGATTAGGAGTTTATGAAAACCAGTAGTAGGAGCGGCACAATCAGGTTGCCTTTTCCTTGTTTCCTCCTGAAATTTATTGGGAGGTAGCTTGGGAGATGAAAGCTCACGAACAACAATCTCTCACTTTGGAGGTGAGATGAGATATCTTTCCATTTCTTCCCCTTTTCAGCCAGGAAGCTACGGACTGCTTTTCGCAGTGGTGGGTGCCATGATTGACCGCATACCACCGAAGGAATTCTTGACGCTCGATTAATCGTGGCCGTTTCCTTTCCTGCGCAAACTTAGCTTAACTGAACTGAACCATAAGCCCGAGGCCTCTACGTCCTGGAAAATTGGATTGGATTGTAGAAACTGACTCACCATAAGCTCTTCAGAGAGTGAAAAGGCTGTCGATCAAGTTTTCGAATGTCAGATGTCTGTAGTCCTGCCTAGTCGTGAGGAAAATAAGTTGATCAGTAGTTTGATGTCTACAGTTTGTTTAGTGTTTTCGAGACTGTGACCTAGAATGATCGGCATATTTAAAGGCGCAAAATGAGTTTTCGCTGATGATCATTTTTAGTGCCAAGACAGTCGCGTGATGGAATTTGACTACGGTGATACGAATGGTATTACCTGATTTGAATTAATCCTAATGTCTTCGATTTCCAGGTCCGCATACATGGGCGATTCGGTTTCCGGCTGCTGCTGGAAAAAAACAATCGCCTGTGAATCTGAACACCGGAGCCATGCAATATGATGCATCATTGAAACCTTTACAGATAGATTTTAAAGGAGTAGAAAACCAAACGGTTGACATGAAAGCTCACAATTTTCAAGTAAAAATCGGAGGGAAGGCAGGTTAGTAATGAACATTAATAATAACGATCATAAATAATCTTTGCCATATGACAATTACCATGATCATTAATAATTATAAATTATAATGGTAAACAACATGGTATACATGTATGCATTATACGATCGAAATACGCCAGGCGACTCATGTTTAAGTGACCTGGTGGAAATACTTTGTTTATACATTGGTTTGCGCTCAAGATTCTTGATTGTTTTTGGTTTTCTACAAAAAATATTCCATATCTACTTTTGTAAAAGTTACTCATTTCACAATTTTTATTGATGAAACCAAGAAATGCATTGGTGATTTACAGTACAAATTTTAAACCGCGATCAACATAAATATATTGTCATAATAAATATATTTATTACGGTTTAAAATTTGTAATTTATTGATATAATAATATTCGTATTAATTTGATAATTNATTTATTGTATTAAAAGCTAGAACCCAAGCAGCACGAGTATACCGCTGAGTGACACCTGAGTTTCCCCCCAGAGGCCCCTGAATGTCCCCCTGAGTGTATCGCTGAGTGACCCAATGAAAAAAATTGGTACGCTCAGGGGGCGCTCAAATAAATTTTTCGATTATACCTAAGTGTAATCTCTCGTTCGTAAACTACCGTTTGGTGACAATTTCTGAGTATCCGTCTGATGCTTCAAAGGGGACACGCGAGGGGAAATTCGCGTAGGAACCCTGGTGATACACTCAGATGGACAGTAGTACCAATCGGTACCTTTAGTTTGATTTCGATAACAAAAGCATCAAAAACCTCACGGAGAAAGCGACTGCTTAGGGTCAAAACCGTTATCCAGATAGCCTTAACTTTAGAAGGTTCGAGCCTCTTTTTGCTCGNCTCGATCTCAGGAAAACAGTACATAAAACGCACGAAAAGACTTAGGCACTTAGGTCTTTTACACACGAATTCACCCCAAACCCGAGTCATTCCAAAGCTTGTATTCTCAGACGTTTGCAAACAATTAACAAAGGCTAACAATGGACATAGGGAATGAAAGATTGGGAAATCTAGTAATATAGTAAAATCTAGTAAATCTAGAAATAAAACACATTACTGAATATGTGCTCACCTAGGAAAAAGGGGTAACTTGGTAGGCTTTTTTTGCTCGATAAAATGCCTAACTGTGTTAGCAAGTGATAAGCAGACATAATTAAATATCAAATGATTGAAAGATGTCAATGAAAAGAAATTTGTTGTTTTACGGCTTTTATCAGGGGAATATATTTTTGAATACAGGTCTATGAAAGTTCAACTTACTCATATCCTGTTGCCGGTTTTAAATTCAAAATTCTAATGTTGATCTCTCCTAGCTAGAACACCTATGTGGGACACTGAGGCGGCTATCTTACGGATCCAGATCAGTGGTCCGATTTTCTTAGATTATTTAATTGTTCCACGTCATATGTTGTCTAGAAAGTTTAGCCGTTCCATCAGCATTTACGACCTCAAATCAATGTTTTGTTACTATGATTATAGCAGTTAATCTAGAGAGATGGGTTTACAATATGATGAGCTCTGTATATTGATGAAGAAGTTAGATGCAAATGTGATAGATATATGCAGTTATATATGAATCAGAGGTATCAAGAGCCCGATTATGATTAAAGGTGTATATCTTGGGTTATTATTGATCACCTTACTTTTGTGTCTTGCAAACTCTTCGATGAACAGTGTAAACTAGCCTCGGCTGAGGAAGCCCTACTCATTGACACCAAAATGGGGTCACTGAAATCCAGCATCCCGAGGATATAAACGGATAGGTGAACTACAGACACTTCAGTTAGTAGAGTCGACTAAAACTCCCAATTCTAAACCAAGCAAGAAGATGCAGTAGTAGTTGACTGTGAAGCGTAGTGGGCACCTTGAGGCTTAACCCAGTCTAGTGGGCGAATAAACTAATTAACTGTAAAATAGTTTGTTTTCAGTTTTTAGTTTATACAGAAATTAACCATGTACCTTCGTGCACTGGTTTTGATTGCTGTATTTTGGCTGCGATTTGGATGAACAGTGAAAGATAACCAGAAAACTAGTCCCTAAGGGATAGTCGTTTATATGCATCTTTCGTCAGGTTCACGGTTTGATCTTTTGCCAGATGAACGCTTTGGTTTTGAATGCCCTCAAAAATTAACCGATTTAGCCTGCATGAGGTAGCATTATTTTGCTAACAGTTGACATTTTTATAAGGATTATATTACTATAATTTGTTTGGCACACAGTATAAAAAATGTTTCTCTGACTTGATATGTATTACTGGGTAAATAATAAACTTACGTATTCGATGAAAAACATTCCTTTCCAGCATATTTGTTTTCCTATTCTAAACTGCAGAACGTGATGAGACTTTCGTAACTAGGTATCTTGATTTAAATAGATTGTTTAATTTCAAATGCCGTGGAATTAATTAGAGCACGGGTGAATTCTTCTTATTTTCAGGAGTATTCATTGAACATTTTATTGCATTTTATTGCATCGTAATATTTAAACGACTAAGAAAACAAAGTTATGCCGCTTAAAAAACATGTACACGAAGCTTATGCCGTATTATACATTACTTTTGTGGTTGCTCCGGACTGAAATTAATCGAATAGGGTTTCCAGATTATTTGCAAGTTATTCTTATACAACAAAAATGATTGTGCCTAAAATTAGCTTTCTTAACCGACTGGAGAAGACTTGATGCAGATTTCAATAATTACCCTTAGGATAAAAAATTTTTATTTTTGAAATCCTTATGTGAACATACCCTGGTCTATTCATCTCCACTATTTTTGTTTATTTGTAACAAGCTACATGTAACCGTACTCAACAAGACTCAATTGTTTATTATATATATATGTATATTTAACACCGGCTTGTAGACAACCATGGTGCCAAAGTTATAACAATAATAACAATAACAATAACAGGGGGCAGGTGAAGTAGGATACAGAACAAAGTAAAATGATGGAGAAAAAGTTAAACACAGGAAAATGATAGATAGCTTGGATAGGAAATTATTCTGTTTTACCATACACCTTTTGATATTTTTGTTGTTTGTTGTACCAGTTAGGAAAAATTTATAAAGAAGTTTAGAGTAGTAAGCTTGGATGAGCCCATTCGATCGTTTAAGATGTACCGTGTAGCTCAGAGGTCTCAACCGAGACGTTTGAGGTTCTAGTCCTGACAGGGACACAAAAGGTAGGCACTGTTGAAGAGTCCCAAACAGGACAAAACAGCTGTCAAGTGTTCTTTCTTGGTTATCACAAAATGTCCATCGTATGTGAATGTCATGAGAATTTTGAGCTAACTGAGGACTTTTCTCTGATGAAATAGTTGTATTTTTTCAGTTTCATTTCTCTTTCCGAAGTCACCTGTTATTCTTAACTTACAAAAATCATAATTTATCAGTTAAAGGAATTTCTAATAATATTTATTTTAGAAGATCTTGTTTTCGGTTAGGAATTAATTATCTCGCATATTCCATGCTTTTTGTGAAGAGGCTATTTCTCATTTGGTGTCGTATTTCAACGCACTGATTAGCTTTAATTACACTTGCTTATCAAAATTCTGCATTCAATCAAAGTATCTCATATTAGTCGTGTGGTTTTAGTTCGGAGGTTCTTAGTCACAAAAAACCATGAACATGGATTTTTAATCGATTGTTGTTAGCGTTTCATTTTCTATTATTTGGGTCTTTTGTTAGGGTTCATCACAAAAGACTCGGGCACAGCTGAAAGTCAAGAGTAGATGCAAAGTCTCATCTGCAATGAGAATTGCGTTTTGTTCAAAAACAAGAAACCGTTTTCATTTTTATTACTTTTTAATAAAACTGTTGTTCACAAAGCTTCATGCACAAACGAAAAAGATTTTATTGGTTTACAAAACCGTAGAGAAAGAATGTGACAAAATTGAAAACTTTATAGGCTGTTTCTTCTCAATAAAATCTAGCATTTTATTTTCCTGCAGCCAACCTTTCTAGCATCCAATAGTTCGCAAAGCCTCAACGCAATTTCTTCATGAGAATGCCTGCTGAGTCCCACATGGGAACAAGATATCCCTTCTAAAGAAGCCATAATTATTCATAATTATTCTAGCTGAATCCTTATAAACCTAACTCTCACCCTTTTAATGCCTGAAATGTAGTACAAGTGTAGAACTTTATTCTACATTTTTGTTTTGTTTATAAAAAATTTCATAATAAATTGTATTATTTACCCAATGAAGTATTGAATGAAAGAGAACAATGAAATTCTACAATAAGTAAAAAGGATGACCGAAAAATCTGGACAAGGTTTCGGAGGAGGATTGCCGAAATTAGTCATAAATTAACCTGATGGAAATACACGAAGCAATATGGACAGGAGATCACATTCTAAAGTCTAATCTATCTGCTCTGTCCATTTATCTGAGTATTACTCTTAGTCTGATACTCCTTTCCTAATAGATACGAATAAAGGACGACCAAACGATAACAACCCAAACTAGCAGACAAATGAGCACGTTTTATGAGCTGAGAACAGCTGCTTTTATGATTCCTCAAAGTCTCTAATAAAAGTAGCATTGCAACTATTAGGTATAATACTGTAAACACAGGAAAACCTACACAATTACATAAAACTAAATAAATTCAATATTTTTATGAACGATTCTGAGGTACGCAGTGCAAACCATTTAGGAAGGTCAATTTAAATGAGTTAAAGTAAAAGCATTTTGAGTGATTTCATTCTTGCCTCGATTAGTACCAGACTCTGCATATACTGATTAATTTTGAAACTTTTAGAGACTTTTAATTTGGATTGTGAATACTTCTGCCTTTATTGGTTCTTTAGTATAGCTGCACAATAATATTTGAAGTCTAATCAAATTATTTTAATTCCTAAAATAGATGAACAAATATCGGGTACGTTTCCATTTATACGATGCCTACATTGAACAATCTACATTATGAATTTTCCAAAATAATTTGACCCGAATAACCATCAAAAAATTGAAACCTTCATACTGATGTAAACACAAAGAAAAACTTGATCAACCCAGTTATTACGGGATGCGAATATAATCCTTCTCAATAAGAATTCTTTAATATTAGAGTAATGGAGGATTTGGTTTGTTTATATGATGAATTCGTCGTGTAAATGGAGCTTAAACTGAAAACTTGGGAAACAATGGACAGCCTTTTTGACCCGGTTGGGTCTCATCAGCAGGGCAAATCCGTCGACCCAACTGGGGCTCGAATCCAGGACCTCACAGGTAGAACGCCAGCATACTACCTACTCGGCCGCCGGGCAACTGAGATGAGCGAGAACCGGTACTCAAACACAAGCTCGCAAAGATGGGTTGTGCTATCTGGTGTATATTCAAAACCAGGAACGGTATGATCAGCTTTTCGGTGGCCGAGTGGGCAGTATGCTTGCTTTCTACTTGTGAAGTCCCGGGTTTGATCCCCAGTTCGGTCGATAGATTCTCATTACTGATGAGACCCAACCGGGTCAAAACTGCTGTCCAGTGCCTGCTAGCTTTTCAGCTCACACCCATTTTACACAAGGAATTCGTCATATAATAGTTCTTTGTTTTTCCTCTTGTATTCTAGCATAATTCAGATAAAAAAAACACAGGGATATTTTATAATTCTTTTATTCAATCACGGAAACTAAGGAGGATGTTTTGTGTTTTCATATCTAACATACAAAAGGATATGTTTGATAACCTAGCTCATTTAGCCCAATGAAGTAAGCCTAAAAATATAGCTTGAAGGATTCGCAAAGAAAAAGAATAGATCCTTTCTCGAAATCTTGGTTACAAAATTCCGAAATGGAATTAATTATTTTCAGTTTCTCAATTTATTCAGCGTTGACGACATCGTTAACATCAAAATTTGCATAAAAGCCATTCACAAAATTAGAAATAAGATGTCGTGACGCTAGGATTAAGTTTCTTTCGATCTTCTTTATTTCGATTCACTTTGATAAACGGGAACTGATGGTAAAAGTTAGTAAATCATAAAGCGAGTTTAATGTATTTTAAAACATGTATAAGCATTTATGTTTGCACAGAATACATTTCAAGCTAAAATTCGCTTAACCGTCTTTTAGTATTTTATTTTGGATCATTTACTCCGTTAAAAAGTTAAGCCACTTATTCCACTAAATTTTCTGTTTACTTATCTGTCTCTCACAACAATAACCGTTTTTAATCTTCTAAGCTGCGATCTTTTAATCAACTTTTTAACTTTTATGCACAGACTGGCCTCACAAGAGGGTGAAATTTATTATATAAATATAACTCTTCACAAAGCTCTAACAAACAAGCATTCTATAACGCTCTGTGACCATGATCGGTCTTCTCTTGATTATCTCTTACAGTATTACGTGGTGGACCGTTGGAACATGACTATCATCTGACTCAGTTTCATTTTCACTGGGGGTCCGGAAACACTTGGGGGTCAGAGCATCATGTGAATGGAGTGAGCAGTCCAGCAGAATTGCATTTGGTTTTCGCCAATTCCAAATACAGTCAGAATGAAGTGCTCACTGAGCAACCGGACGGTTTGTCTGTAGTTGGCGTATTTCTTCAGGTTGGTACATTTTTCGAAACGTGTATTCCTTTGCCCATTCGAGAGCAAACGTGTGCTTGGTTTTCCTACTAATCTTTTCAGTGTTGTTCACAATGTTTCTCTTGAAACAAAAACTTGTTACAAAATGCGGCCTGATTCAGAAAGCGTCTCATGAATAGTCAAAGAATAAACCAACTGGCTGGGTGATCACTTGACTGATGACCATTTCACGCTTGGAACAGTTCGATTTTAGGATTATGTATTTAGCATATAATGTACAATTATATGCGTGAGGCTTAAAAACATGGGGTTGCAGTGGTGAACGCTCAGCGTTCTATACGCTTAGGGTGTTGGAAATACTGTAATAAATATGCTATGTTTAAAATTTTCATACTTGATGGCTTACTGGATGCTGGTAATTTGTTGGGGCCGAAGCTAGAATTGAAATTTGTTTTTATCAATTAAATTCTTGATACTGATTTCATTTTAGGCAATGCGACCAGTGGCCGGTTGTCAGATTTTAACTTAATTGCATTGCAATCATGAGCTTTGCCAGGCATCTCATGCAGTAATCATTCAATAAGTTTATCTTCTCTTATGCAAGATTATTCCTATGTTATATTGCGTTTCTGACGAGAAATATGATTTCTACAATAAAATACTCAAAGATCGAGTGTTTAGTGTTATTTTAAAGGTTATAATCATTTTTCTAATGAAGATGACTACTTTGAACTTACGTCTTGGACAATACTAATGTACGGGTGTGGCGAAATGATCCCGGAAACATTTTGCAAATTTTCGTTTTTGACTGTTCTATTCAAATTTGTTAAGGGAAAACAATGCTTTCAATACTAATTTCAATTTATGTGATGAACATTGAGTTATTTTTTGTCACTGAGGAATTGAGCTGTTATCGAGGGCTCCTGATAATGCATGCCAGATGTTTGTTTAAAATCATGGCTAATATCCTGCAGAAATGACTGAGCGTGTATTGTCGATGTTCTTAACTGGCCGATTTCATAGAATAATAAAACTAGATTTGAAATTTGTTCCAGCATGTTGAATAGGGTTGCCACATATTGTGTTTACATAAAAATCGGTCATGGATAACTTGAATACACTGCAAGTGATTTATGCTACAGGTGAAGGTCAAAGCCCAAATTTAGTTGGATGTTCTTCATCCATTGTTGGATTTCTGGAACTCATTGCATCTTGCTGGCAATCCTTTTCAAAATAAGGGTCTTCTCAAATCCAAAGAGTTTGAATGAAAACGAAGATCAAAATACCGTTTGCAAATCATACGGAATGTGATTACATGAAGTAGTTTTAGGCAACGCTTTTGACTCATAACTGAAATGTGCGTGTGTATGTCACATATTCGAATGTATACATTGCCGTAAACACTGGATGGCATCATATCTGTCTGTCTTCAACTTTATTTGTAAATGCATTTGTGATCTCCCTTGGATCTTGAACCCGGTTTGGGTTGCAAAAAGGCAATAAAAGACTGATAAATAATAACTGATCTGAAACGGATATGTGTTTTGGTCACGCGCACAGATCCAGGCTATCTGCATAGACATTTGGCATCGCCTCGAAATTGTGTGCGACGACCCAAGTACATTAAAATTGCAATTAATGGAATTCCGAATAATTGTTCTGGGCATGTAAATAGGATAATTGATTTCACTGGGAATCATTTCATTATGGAGGACATCAAAACATATTTTGCGAAGTTGTGCCCTAAACCGTATCGGCTGTGATGAAATTTATTGTTTACTTCGATTCACACCTTTGTGTGCTTATTGTTGTATGGAACAGGTCGATTTTGTCTAGGAATTGGCTGAAGAGCTAAATTATGCTCTACGTGACACTCCATTTCAATTACAAAAACTGTGATACGAGGTCGAATAGGTCATATGTATTCTTTCTCATACACAAATAATAAAGGCATAGAAACCAAACAGTTGAACGAATTCCAGTTCACTAGTTACAGTCAAGATGACCTGAAAAGCAAGAATAAGGGTGTTCTAAGACAACTTACCACTAAACACAGTTGTTTATTTCAAATATATCACGAAGAGAAGAACTCCGGAACACAAGAAAGTGAAGTCACTGTCGAGAGTTTCATCGAATTTTGTAACGAATAATGCTAATAGGGACTAAAAGGCAGGACGCCCCTTCGAAGGGGATCAGGATGAGTACCGTGCAGACAGTGAGATTTATACTAAACAACAATCGCACCTCATAGAGGCAGAAGAAGGCAGTTGATGTGAACTGCAGCATTTTTTGTCCGTCAATGTAACAACTTTCATTGTTCGGAAAAGCTTTTGCTTGTTTGTTTGTATATTGGAGTTAACGTCCAGCAGCGACAGCTACTAGCCTAATTTATCGTACAATTATGGACAAATGGCTAACTTGTTTCGGTCGATTTAGTACTGTAAAATCATAACTGTGCGATATAACATGAAGCTCACCTGAGTGAAGTTAAAAGCCATTTCGTTCATCGAAAGTGAACTGAAAGAATGATATGAATAGACTGGAATGCGGAATGTACCGTTTCCTGCTCCGAGGACCAAACAATTAAGACTATAATCACCTCTTATCATCATTATCGTCATCATCATCATCATCATCATCAACATCGCCATAATCATCATCATCCTCCTCATCGTATCTATAAAGGTGTGCATATATATATAAAGTTAAACAATTACTCCTTTTGGATTCTTCTTCCTGTTTGAATTTATGGAAAATCCCAAGGCAATGAAGCAAAACATCGATTCATTTTCAGTTATATACTGAAGGAGTGGTATAGAAGAAAGTAAAATCCACATCTATCTATACTGACCTCATCATATTTTCAATTAAAAATCTGGCTGTTCATCTGTGATTTTCCATTCTATTGAAGATCAATAGAATTGCTATTTTAAGACCTATTTGAACGCAGTTATTAGTCACCATAACACTTCCACGAACGACAGAATTGAATTGATCTGTAGCACTAATTGTTTTGTCCACACTTTTTCGTTTGATGCGTACACATCACTGTTTTGCAGCTGGGCACACAAACAAATCCAGCTCTGGAGCAGCTGTGCAAAGTGCTACCTACGATGAACAAAGGTGACTCGAAGGTTATTGAGCCTAGACTACCACTACAGTCCCTCATTCCAAGTGAGTAAAGTCAATTTAACGGCAAACCTATATATGTATATCCGTACATATGATTCGAAAAGAGAATTGAACGTTAAGATGGCATCTGTTGGATGATAAACCCGTATCGGTAGTAATCATCCTAAAAAATTACTCACAAATAACCTAGTTCATTAAGCGTATTGCAGTAGGTTTATACGATTAAAGTTTTATTTTGAGTTTTATGATTCTGAATTTATCTGAAGTTTAATTCACATACCAATCAGAAAAATAAATTAATTATTTTTATCTTAGGACGTGTATGAGGCCATTTGTTCATCAGTCTTGGAAGAGGTCAGTCAGTGTGGCATATGGTGCATATTGTAAATGTCGACCCTTCGTCCTTCCTGGTTTGTCAGTTGCTAGTGTAAAATGATCCTGGATACTACCAAAACATATATTCTACCACATAATCATGGCGGTTTGCTTTACACATTCTTTGGTAAAGTTTTTCATCGAAATTCGGGCAATCAAATATTTAGGTTGATCGTACTCCTCAGGGTGGCTGGTCAATATCTTGATTCGAAAAAAGTAACAAATTTTATAACACTAATGTTCACTACCTGCCAGCAGGTCTAAATTTAGTCTACCTCCGTCATCCTGTGGTGTTGACCATTATGAACATTAATTTCCTTTATCAATATATTCTCAAACTTGAAGCGCTTGGTGCCGACAGCGTATCAATCGAAAAGGGGAATGGGCAAAAGGGTCTAATTTTATTGGAGTCACCTCAGGTGTACAGAAATTTTATCCCTGGAAGAATTCTATGGAGATGACATAATTGACTCGTTCAGTAATTGAGGTTATTCGGTATGATATAGGCTTTGCATTCTCAACGTGCAAGGTGTCGCTGCAAGATTGGCAGGAGTTTGTTTCTGCATCTTTGGGTAATGAAACCCTAGCCTAATTCGGAGGTTGGGCATTCATTGATGATGGTGTAAACGAAATCTCTCAACGCGTAATTAGAGCTAGATTAGTGCTTGCGAAACTGCAAAACATCTGGAGTCAGAGTGAAGTTGCTTTTTATTAAAAGGGCTTGTGTATAGCACTATTACTGGCACTGTCTTACCCACTGGCTTCAAAGATTATCGTCGTCGAAAGGATGTTGACCAGTGGCTATCTGTTTTCGTCAACCTTTGTCTGCTTCGTATGGCCCGTATCTGGTGGAAGAATAGACTGAGTGAAGAAGAGATACAAAGACATGTTCAGGGGCCAGATATCCGTCTGTTGAATAAAACCGTTTCACTGCACCATCTGAAGTGGCTACGACCTGTCAAACGATTATCTGGGCAACGTCCGACTGCCGTGTGTTATTTCTAGATAGTGGGTTAGGCTGGAAGAAACATAGAGGTGAACAAGGTACAACCTGGCAAAGAGGGCTGAAAAAGGTGTGTTCAGAACTGGGGATTCTCAGTTTCCAAAGTCCCAAAGATTTATATTTTGGTTGGCTTCAGACAATGTAGCATGTGGCATTCATTCGAATTAAGTGGCTCGCATATATTTTTACATGTTTACAATCCGGAAAATGGAAAACAAAGCAAAACAAGAATTTTTTAAATTACGTGCGGTAAACAAAAAGTGCTTTGGTATCGCTTTCCAGAAATGAATTGCGTTTTGTCCAATTGCATAAGTTTGAATCTAACTAGGAGTGAGGTGTATACTTCTAAGTTGTTGGTCCAACTAAGTGATAGATTTTGGACTCACTTAAAAGGTGGTATCTTATTATTTTCTGTTAATTAGTGATCTATCAAGTCATTATGATGTAAATAACACGTCTCTCTAATCTTCTTCCATGGAAACGATAGTTTATTACATTTGGTAATAATCAGCAATAAAGAGCTATTTTTTTTATCCGGGTGCTGCTCTTCGTCATTGAAGATTTATTTGTAAAACCAGTTCATGGGGGTGCTGTTAGTCTGTAATCATGCTCAGCCTGTGCGCACACTGTCCTCTTATCACTAATGAACTTTAAGTGGCGATGTTCATGCGAAATACATCTGACACAAATCTGTATCATTTATTTAATGCTTTTTCCTCCATTGTATTATCATTTCATACACATTCGCTTGTTCATTAACTTTTTCTTAGGAGATCTGCATTTCAGCTAGGAAGTGACGTTGTTTCACCGGATGGAAGTGGCAGTAGAACAATTCGCTTATCTCTGTGCCATAGATCAAAATCTGACGGCCATTCTAGGAGTGGGGAAGATTCCTGCATTAATGTAATATTTTTGGAAAAGTAAAAATCGACCTGCTAGCTCTCAAGTTTACTTTGGATGTTTCCGTATGCATACATGTCTGTTTGAAATAGTGTCTATCTAGATCCGATTTGCTGTCAATAGCACTTCACACCTCATGATTTCCTATATGAAGGAAAATCACTTCTCCCTTGCTTCCGGTCTCATTAACTTAGGAAAGATGGTTGGCCGTGCTATTTTGTACACACTAAGGGGATGTGAGAATAGAGCTGACCTTAATATAATTAATAGGGGGGGGGGTCTAGGGGGACTAGTTACACATCCTAATTCGGGCAGTATCTGACTCTATCCAGGTGTTTGTTACCACGTTTTTGTCTTGCATTCATCATGTGCATCTTCGATTGGGATTTGATTACCGAGTACGTTGGTTTGTTTTGGCTTCTGGCCCTAGGTATTGGGTGTGCCGGCTATCATGAACTGTGCTTTCAGGCTAGCAGACCACCGGAAATGAGAATGAGGCATCATAGGAAGAGGCAAAGGTTGGTGCAAGTGTGTCTAAAGATAAATGGCTGACGAACGTCATTTATCCATCACATAATCTAAACCATAGAAGAAAGTCTGTCAATCGATGTCTGTTGTCCTCTTTTGTCCTGATGGACAAAGATTGCCCACTGTACGACTTTTGAACTGTGCATGCAGCTGAATGTATGACTCAGAGATTTCAATTCAAATTGAAACAGACAAATACTCCACGCTCTTGGTTCGATCTTTCTGATTGCTGTTCCGTGAGAAGTACACCCATAACAAGGCAAACGTGAGTGGGATGTAGTGTTTTTAAAGTGAAGAACAAACAACGTTGAGTGGATGTAGAAAAAATCAACTCAGATCCATGGACGCATTGATAAGTAACCACGAGCCTTTGTGATGGGGCCTAGCAGTCAACGGCAAGTACATGGATTTATTGATTTCCTAAATGCGTGTTCGATAGAAAGACAAATTCAATCACGACAGAGATTCATTATAGATCTGCGGAATAGACGGAATTCGAAGAATTCAAGTTCGCAAAAAGCTCAGTGCATTGAACTCGGTGATTGTGATATCACATGTATTGAACAAGAACAGACTTTTAGAGCATTTTAATTTTCCGGTCAACAGTAATTTTGGAGTCACGAAAGTTGAGTTATCAATGAGAATAAAATGCGCAACCAATAGCCTTGTTCAGCAGGGTTCAGTATTTTTTCATTTCTCTCACTTCCGGTCACCAAATCTGATCCCGTTATTGAGCTGATGTAACATTAAATGCGGTTCAGATTGATGCACGACCAGTGCTCTATCATTTTGATGGATTCAAGAATTGGTAACCCTCTGAGTTTGTCAATAAAATACAAATTCATTTCCACATGATCAAGCCGATTTTTATCCTTTCTCACACTGCTCAACGTGTTTCGAAGTATATTTGCCTTAGTTATTTTCTGAACTACGATCGGTCTTTTTCATCAAATCTTTACTTTTCATTTCCTGCCCACCCCCGGATCACAAAAGATACCTCCAGATATTACACCTATTCCGGTTCGTTGACCACACCACCATGCAGTGAATGTGTCACGTGGTTAGTTCTGGACGAGCCGATCATTATCACACAGAACCAAGTGAGTATGCACGTCATGACTGTAGCTTGTGTGTGTGTGCACGCGTGCTTCTCGTTTGATTTTCAATGTTCAGTGGATAGTCGTATCATGGAACCGAATCATTCAAAAAACGTACTGCGTACCTACTGATCGCTTATTGAGCGAGGTTATGCTCATCAAATGACTGNTGGAGCAAGTTTTCACTGATTTTGTAAAGGAATGCTTTTCCAAACCTTTGGCTCAGTCTACAATCCACTCAACTGTATTTCATGCGTGTAGCAAATCGAGGAGCACAAGTGCCTTGCGTCCCGGGAGTTGCAATAATGAACCAAATGGGAATCGCGGATTGATGTGAATTGCAAGTGGAACTGAACGAAGGGATGGATAATTTTCTTATCTTTCCTCCAAAGAATCCAACAATGAGTGATTCAGAGAGCCTTTACTGACTGACAGTCCCATCTGAAAACCAAATTCCAAAATGCTATTTATTTTTNTATACTTTATAAGCTGTTTTACCTCATCTAACCAATTTCCAACCAACTACATCCTTTTCTTATGCAAAAGATGAAACAAAACTGATGATTATTCAAATGGGGATTGTTGTTATTGTTTTCTGTCCCAATTTTACAAAACCGGATATGGCTGATCCTGCCATCGGAACTTAAGCTTGGTCTGTTAATTTAGCAACCATGCTTGTTCCCAAATCGCCGTATCTGTTGTCAAAAATTGAGGTCTCCTATGTTAAAGATTTCCACGGTTCTGCTATTCAAACATTTTTCATTCCAATGAAAGAAATGAATGATAATAAAGTTTAACTAGGAAAATACGTACCAGTCTATAATGGATTGAACTGTCAGGAATGATAGTCACAGTGAGGCACGGAATGCAGATGAAATCGTTTTACTGCGATCACCCCTAGTTGGCTAGCTCTAATGCTATCGATGCAAGCTGTAGCTGAATGACATTCTCTGAATTGGTTTTATCGTAGCAGTAAGCGTATGCTTGTTCAAAGTGAAACCGCACAGTTTTGTATTTAGTTTAATTGAAAACGAAATGAAATCTCTTATTGGATTTACTACAGTGCGCGAATCAGTATAATGCAGAAAATAAACCGGCTAAAATTCCGGTTATTCTTTTATCATTTCCTTCTTTCAATGAGCAAAGTGTTGTAATGAATTCCATTTGGCTGACTTTTTATTTAGAAATATTTGAAAACGATGACCTGATCTCAAGCAAGAAACAAAGCGTGGTAAATAAAGTTCATCTGAAAGAATCAGTTCCTTTCTATCAGGGTAGACGAGGTTAAAAATGGCTTCAGCTAAAACGAAGTATTTGATGCTAAATTCATTGTGTTGTAGAATAATGAAGAATAAACGCCGCTCGTTTATATATGACCGAAAAAAGAATTAGCTCATTATCAACAAAACAACGACAATTAATTAGGTACTTTTAGGGGATTCGGCGGAATTTGATTAGAGTTTGTTTCGACGGAAGATGACGTATTGAACGTGCTCTTGCGATAAGGACCAAATCCCTGAAAAGTGATGAAACTGATGAAGAAATGACAGTAAAAAGGACTCTGAATGATCGATCGGCCATACCACGTAGGTATTAACCATAAATACATTATATAAGGTCTGACTTCACCATTTCAGCATTCGTTACATAGAGCAGAGAAAGAACGGGAATGTCCAAACATTCTGCTGAAATCATCTCTCTGACCTAATTAAGCCGTCAGTGAACAGCCCCTAAAAGCTTGTGAACTCCATTACATACTGAGCAGTCAGTGAATGTCCAGGCTAAATTTGCGTTCCATAATTGCGCTTGAAATACGCATATTGAAACATGGATTCTAACGAACGGAGTGCTTTTCGTATTTCTATGCATCTCCGGGAGAAAAGTTGTTTGAACTGAGTTTTCCACAACGCGCTTTCTTTCACACTTAACAGGAGGTTTGGAAATTACACAAATGCAGAGATTACAAATGGAGACAGTTTAACATTGGTTATGTATTGCTTTATCTTTGTATCACTACCACATGTCGGACGTCATGGAGCGTCAAATGAATAATTCATTAGGATTTGTCGGTTTGAAGTAAATGCAGTGAGGCATTTGGAAGTAAAGTACTTGTGGTTTTATTCCGTTCTTTCACTCGTACGTGTGTTCATTTATATTTGTATGCATGCACGCGAACGTGTCAGTTGAGGGTAAACCTGTTTCCATTTTGGAGGACAGCAAAAATAAACCAGGGTCTCTTGATCGATCGGCGGAACTATGTATCTGTCTGTCCGCCGGCTTGTCTGTCTGGTGATATGCCTGTAGACCTCGCTCTCACTGGCCCTACTGAATGCATGCTTGGCTGGCATGACGGGAAGTCAAATTCAGCACAACGAGGCCTGTACACGTAGTAACACCATTTGACTACCTAAGATGAAATGTTACTTGGCTTTCCCAAATAGCCGCAAAACACAGTTGAACCATGCTACGGGCTCAGCTCATGATTGATTCATTAAGAAGCCAAAGTAGGTTAGAAGTTGTATAAAAATGATTGGAAGTTGCTATCACCTTAAAACTGGTTATTGAGTTATCAAATCTTATAGGTAAATGCCTTCAGCTTCTATAAAGTAGACGTCATTGGGATTTCTTCTCAGTCGAATGCATAGAGATCCCGCGAATAACATCGCAAGCCACATGGTGAGCGTAACCATAAAAAGGATTGAGCGATTACTGTCTTCTTGAGTGTGTGCGTGTGTATATGCTTGATAGAAAGAAAGCAGAAGAGATTGAGCTCACACGTTGGGTTTAAAGCTGATTCAGATAGTGGGCTGATTCGTTCAGCGCGTGATCTTGCCAGCCATCCTGGAAATACTCAATATGACTTAACGGATATCGTTCACGGACCAAATTAAGACCTCAATAAGAATAGGAATTTTTTTGTAGTATCAAACATTAATTGCTCGTAGGGTGGAAGATTGCCGACTTGGTTGGCCTTTTATATAAGTGAATAACACTAAAAATACATTTTAAATTCCCACCTCTGTTAGATAGGTTACCATCTCCTATGAGATTCACAAAAATCAGGGTATACTATAGATATTCTTATAAGTTGAAGGAGTGGTTTTGGTGTATAGTAACGGCAGCAATCAAAACAATATTAATACCATTGAGCCTGAAATGAAATCAGATGCAATCCGACTCTTTCCTCATGTAACTTTGCTTATATTACTTTGGTTTGACCTTTCTGTCTTGCTCATTTGTCACACGATATTCTGGAATCGGTCTTTCAGTGACTGAATGGAAAAGTATCTAGAGATTTTGGGAGTGAATTGGGAACTATCGTGATTCAGTCGCAATCGTGATGTACCGACGAGGGGTAAGAAAGTGCTCCTGTCACACATGTACCGCAATACTTTATAGGAATTCAGCTCACACTTAACCCAATAGCATTTATTTTTCCTCGGAGATTATTGTTATTTTTCACAAGAGGAAGTACAAATTATTTGCTCCCATTTAGCCTGATTTGGTACCATTAATTGTTCATGGATATTTCGGTTCGATGCTTAGCAGCTGAAAATGGAACTTCTTGTTGTCAGTGCTTGTCTCAGGTGTTGGAAATTCTCTGAACAAGTACATCAATGCACAAACCTTATCGTAGTATGAGCGTGTATCTGTGTGTGTATGCGTCCCTGCGATCTGTTTTCGTTACTTTTGCTCATTTGAGGTCACTACTTGTTAATTTCGGATGTAGTGTCCCCAATCTTTATTGCCCCTCGGCAATACAAGCTATCCAACCTCACCGGAAAGCAGGCAGGTTTCTAGTCCTACTAGAATTAGCTTGATTGACCTGAGTGTTCACTTGGTCAGTCGGACTGAGTCACCTGGCCTTTTCGTCTGATTGACAAATCCCAGGATTAAAGGTATGCGTCTGGCATGGGTTTGTATTACCTTGGACATCAATCGATAATTCACACAGAAAGTTATGGCGCTATTTTTAATCATTTAGTCACCTTATACTTACAGAATAGCTCCATTCAATAAAGGGAAACAGCACGATGGGGTGCAGAACCAGCTTTTCGTTGCAACAACCACATAGTACAAGACGACAAGAGTTGTGCTACATTTTCTTTGGTGGGTCAATGAAAAGTTCATCGTTTTAATCTGTAGTTTTTGAACGTCTTTTGATTACCCGGTCCGGCGCTTGTGCGTAAAATGTTAGCATGTTGCCTGTTTCACTCTGGGGATGATATACCTAAATATCACTATTTTGCAGAAATTCTCTCTGTCTTTCGTTTTCGTTTTTATTTTTAATGATTATCCAAAGATACATTTTTCAGGAAGAGAGATAGTAGAACAGGTACACTTGCCGATTCCAAGTGCTTTGTTTTTTGAACTCTTATGATATAGTATTGATGATCCACATCCAGATATTGAAGGAAGAGTCGGCTACGAAGTAAAAAGATCTACGACGTATATAACCCAGTTCGAAATCCTTGGCGATCACAAGATTATGCTTTTTTACACAATGGCTGAAAAGAATTACTGTATCTCTGGTTCTCAATTGAAATTTACTTACTCAAAGCACTTTTTCTTATGTGACGTGTGATGTGAACCACGAGAGAACAGAACATGGTACTTTCTGACTGCTTCAGTTTTCAATTATGAATGACCTTTTGCAATCCTGACACGAAAACATAGGCGTCCACAAAACAGCTACTTTCACCTTGCTTGAGTTTTTGTTCTTCCTCTCGGCCTTTACAATATAAATGCAATGTAGAGCTGATAGGAATCACTGATGTTGTCTAGTTCATTATGATGATCAGTGCAGTGACCGTCTCCTCTATTGATGTATAGTTAGATTTACACGTCTATCGTAACGTGATTAACACAACAGACAATGATTTGAAAATCTACGATTCCTTACTCGTATACACTTCTATTTTTCTCCTTTAGCTGGAAGTATTCCGTGGAGTGCATTCCAACTGCAAAATGTGCTCATCAACTGACAACTTCCGTTCAATATGTCCACTGGGTGCGCGTAAAGTGCGTACAACAGTTCGCCAGTGATGGTGTGACACGGGCGTCCAAACCTCGTAGCGAATGAATATCTATCCCACTCCCACGCTCATACCATACTACGTCCTCATTTCTTC